GAAATACTGCTACTTTGTAAACCATTTAAGTGTTGTTTTAGGCAAAGTTAAAGAACTCAGGAATCAATCAAACACAGGGCTAAAAACCTTTAAGAAATAGTATCATGGAGCTTGTTTAACAACTGGCTGTCCTGGCTATATCCTCTCCTAGGCCTGTTTATAACCATTCTATAATTGTTTGCCTCTGGACTTTCCATCTTTAACCTTCTTGTCACATTCGTTTCTTCCAGAGCCATAAGGTCATAAATAATCCTACAATTGGAACGCCAGATGTCCTTCGCTCATGAGCTGTATCGTGGATCTCAGGATCGACCTGTACACCTGAAAGACTCCCCTCTGGAGGAAACTTCAACTGCAGGGCCCCTTCTACGCCCCATTTCAGCAGGAAGTAGCTAAAGAGCAATCAACGGCCCCTGTGTCCCAACAGCAGTCGAGCTTTCCTGTTTTAGAGTGGGGACTGAGGGGATGTATTCTCTTCCTGGGTCCACAAGGGGCGCAGTTTCAAAGGCAAGAACTTCCCAGCGCCATACCGCCACCCATGTCTCCATCCGGGGACTTAGAGGTCTTTAACTTAAATGTGTGTGGGAAAGAAAATCAAAGATCAGTCACTCCAGCGGAAGTTTAAAGGAACTCCTTTCATAGGCCAGGAAACTTAAATGGGGTGGGAATTTCTCCGAGGTTATAAGTCCCTGTCCCCCACATCTGGGCGGACTTCATATCTGGATCCCCTTCCACAACCTCGGGGAAGCTCTTTTTCATTCTCCTTTTTCTCTCTCTCTGCCTAAATAAATCACTTTCTGCAAAATTCTTTGGGGTCCAATATTTACTTACTAGTGCACTGTGCCTGGTGGGGTCCTCTCTCCCATTCTTTGTCAAGTGAGGGACCAAGAGCCTGGAAGAACACATCGTAGGGGGGAGCTGAACCTCCCCCATGCTCTGGAACCCAGTCACAGGATCTAATTAAACTTAAAAGCTTCTGCACAACAAAAGAAACTATCAATAGATTGAACTGGCAACCAACAGAATAGGAAAAAATTTTTGCAACCTACCCATCTGACGAAGGGCTAATATCCAGAATCTATGGAGAACTTAAATTTACAAGGAAAAAAACCCATCAAGAAGTGGGCAAAGAATATGAACAGACACTTTATGCAGCCAACAAACATGAAAAAAAGCTCATCATCACTGGTCATTAGAAAAATGCAAATCAAAACCACATTGACATACCACATCACACCAGGTAGAATGGTGATCATTAAAAACTCAGGAGACAACAGATGCTGAAGAGGATGTGGAGAAATAGGAATGCTTTTACACTGTTGGTGGGAGTGTAAATTAGTTCAACCATTGTGGAAGACAGTGTGGCAATTCCTTAAGAATCTAGAAATAGAAATACCATTTGATCTAGCAATCCCATTGCTAGCTATATACCCAAAGGATTATAAATCATTCTCTTATAAAGACAAATGCACACGTATGTTTATTGCAGCACTGTTCACATTAGCAAAGACTTGGAAGCAACCCAAATGTCCATCAATGATAAACTGGCTAAAAAAAGGTGGCACATATGCACCATGGAATATGATGCAGCCATGAAACAGGATGAATTCATGTCCTTTGTAGGGACATGGATGAAAATAGAAACCATCATTCTCAGCAAACTGCTACAAGAACAGAAAACCAAACACTGCATGTTCTCATAAGTGGGTGTTGAACAATGAGAGCACAGGAACACAGGGAGGGGAACATCACACACTGGGTCCTGTGGGGTGGGAGGCTAGGGGAGTTACAGCAGGGGATGGGGGGTATTGGGGATGGATAGCATTAGGAGAATTACCTAATGTAGATGATGGGGCAATGGATGCAGCAATCCACCACCATGGTATGTGTATACCTATGTAACCTGTACAATTTGCACATGTAACCCAGAACTTAAAGTATAATATATAAAAAAAAATTGTATGGAACTAGCTTTATATGTGAAAACCATAAAGACAAGCAAGGAAATAGTTGAGACAAAATTTAAGACTGAGAGTAAACAGAAGAAGAATGTAATTGAGGAGGGGGACCCCGGGCACTTCAAAGATACTGGTAATGTTAATGGTTTTCTCTCAATGGTGGGATGAAGGTGATTTTTATTTTGTTTTTTTGGCTTTCCATTTTGTCAGAAATATAGAGAAACCGCTACATGACATCATCTTTTTGAAAGCCACACATCCATGTATGTATGGCTTTCAGAGAGGTGATGTCATGTAGGGGTTTCTCTAGAGTTCTGGTTATTAGCTAGGAATGACTTTTTACTATCCTTCTCCCTGCAGGAGACATTTGGCAATGTCTGGAGATTTTTTTGGTTGTCATGACTGGGTGGGGAAACTACCAGCACTCAGTAGACAGAGGCCAGGGATTGCTGCTAAACATTCTGCAATGCACAGGATAGCCCAACAGCAAAGAATTATATGGCTGAAAACGTCAATAGCACCAAGGTTCAGAAACCCTGGTCTAAGAGCCAGACTGTTTGGGTTTGAATTCCAGCTTTATACTTTACAAGCTGTGAGACTATGGAAAATTACTTTATATGAGGTTAATAGTAGCATCTGTTTCATAGGTTTGTTGTGAGAATTAACTGAATTAAAACATAAGGTACTGAGTCCAGAACCAGATAAATGAGTACTTGATAAATGCTAACAATATTTTACTATTATTTTTGTTGAATATATTCAATTGGTTGAGAAAAACAGTTGAGAAAGAGCTGATCAAGAGAAATATGTTGAAAAATAGTTATTACAGCAATAGAAAATTATGCAAAGACATGCATATGCACAAACACTAAAAGGTAGCATGTGGAAATTTCAAATGAGAAGAGCTTTGCAAGCAATAATTACAGCCTGTTATAATCTGTATCTTATCTGTACTTAATGGCAATTTCTAAACAAGAAGCCAGAGAACTGAACATAAAGTGTGTATTGGTGCTAATCTGAATTTAAGCTATATTAGTAACTGAACTCAGTCTTGTGACAGATTACATTACAAAAATCATTCTATACTTTAGTACACAAACTGGTCTTTCCCTTATTCTCTATAAAAACCCTTCCAGAAAGATCCTTGGGAAGTCAGTTTCTTGATTAAATTTCATGTACACTTGTGTATTCAAGTGGATGTGTCTGTAAAGTTTTGACAGGATGCTGTTTTTTTTTTTTTTTTTTTTTTTTTTTTTATTTTGAGACAGGGTCTCACTCTGTTGCTTAGGGTGGGGTGCAGTGGTGTGATCTCAGCTCACTACAATCTCCAGCTTCTGGGCTCAAGTGATCTTTCTGTCTTCTTTCTGTCTTAGTCTCCTGAGTAGCTGTGACTACAGGTGCACCTTTTTGTATTTTTAGTAGAGATGGGGTTTTGCCATGTTGCCCAGGCTGGTCTTGAACTCCTGGGCTTAATGCAATCCACCTGCCTTGGCTTCACAAAGTGTTAGATGTGAGCCACTGCACCTGGCCAGGATGTTATTATTTTTTTAAACAACTATTCTAAAAATATAAGCTATTTAAAATATGTACAATTTATGGTAAAGTTTCTTGAACCTTTAGCGAATTTTTAAATTAAATTTTTAGGCATGTATACTCCACTGTATTTTCAAGCAAATAAAGATTTTTATTTTTAATGCAGGTATGTCCAGAAAGAAGTAGATCGAAGCAATGATACTGAATTAGTCTGGAATAAATGACGTCCTACATTAAATGAGAGAAATCTCAGAATAAGAGCTGATAGATTCAGCAGTTTGAAGAACACTTACTTTGGCACATTAACCTCTGGTGTAAAGATCATCATGGGAGAAAAGACTGAATGAAATCCCCTAAAACTATTCCCTACCCCTCAACTTGGTGAAGATTACTATCATTAGTAGAGTTCCATGTAGTTAGCAAAGTCCTACCATATTAATGTTCACAAAAAAGCTTCATAAAAATCCCATGGAGTGTGTGGAATTATCTCTATTTTAGAGGTGAAGAAGTTGAGGCTCAGAGAGATGAAATGATATGCCCAAAGTTACAAAGCTAGTCACTGTGGGACTACCATTCAGACTGAAGTCTCAAAATAAATCCTAGCCTTTCTGAAATTGGTATAACAGGGTATTGCCATTTCTTCTCAAAATGAACTGCAATGTGATATCAGGGTCAGATACAGACAGGGGTTCAGAACTACTTGTCAGATGTGATATTTTATATGCATTATTTATAAAAATTATATGTAAGTAATATATTGGATAATTTCATTATTATACAGCTTTTATTTTTAAATTGTTTATTTTGAATAATTTCAAACATATACCAAAGGGAGAATGACATGTGTAAATTGCTATATTACACACTACCCAGCTTCATCAATTATCAACACCTGGCTCCTCTTTTTTTCTTCTCTGACAGTCTTGCTCTGTTGCCCAGGCTGGAGTGCATAGCACAACCTTGGCTCACTGCAACCTCTGCTTCTGGGGTTCAAGCAATTCTCAGGCCTCAGTCTCCTGAGTGCTGGGATTACAGACACAACCACCACATCTGGCTAACTTTGTATTTTTAGGAGAGATGAGGTTTTGCCATGTTGGCCACGCTTGTCTCAAACTCTTGACCTCAAGTGATCTGCCTGCCTCAGCCACTCAAAGGGCTGGGATTACAAGTGTAAGCCTGACCAACTCCTTGTTACTCTTAATTCATCTATATCCCTTCTATTTCTCCCGACTGAATCATTTTGAGTCAACTTCAAGATATGTAATTTCATTTGTACATACTATGCACAATTTTATTTTTAAATAGCTTTTAAATAATAATTACAACTTAGGAATACTGAAAAGCTGAATGGTTTTCTAGAAGCTATTATGTAGTTAATGTAGACCAATTAATGTAATGTAGTCCAGTTAACGTAGACCAACAGATACCATTTCTTGAGTTCAAAATAATCACAAACATTATGCTTTTCTCTTAGAATTTAAATGTCTATTAATAAACAGAAAGTTTTACCTGTTCTCTGCAGTCTTCACCCAGTTCTCCTTCTAAAGTACAAGATTACAACAATTATCTTTAAAATCTAATAAAGGACCTTAATAAAAATTGTTTACAAAACTAAAAACAGAAATGCTTAAAATATAACAAATAAATTAAAATGCTGAAAACTCTAGAGAAATCAAAAGCCAAACCTTAACAGTATGAAAGTACCCATTATTTTCATACATACATGTATGGCTAATACATGTACTGAAATCAAATTAGTAGCTATGCCTATATTGTTCCTTCTGTTCTTAAAGTGATACCTTAAACTAGCAAGGCAAGTAAGTTTCATCTAAATGCCAATTCTGGTCGATTAGTGGTGGTTACCCAGGGAACTGTGTTGAACTTTTATGAGGCCATTTTCTTTTTTTTTTTTTTTTTTTTTTTTTTTNTTTTTTTTTTTTTTTTTTTTTTTTTTTTTTTTGTTCAACAGGAAAGAAAGCTGTAATTGGTTAAGCGTTATACCTGCTGACCTTTGCTCAGTGCAACAAATTGATGCTTTAAAAGGAGGCATCCTAATATAACCTTATATGCTGAGGAGAAAGAACTGTCATTACCGCCACAATCTAATTTCTCATTATTGATGAATATTAACAAGCATTCATTCTGAAATATGAGAATTTACATATTCTCATTTTGAAAAAAGGAATTCAGTATAATTTGTGGTGTTTATAAATTCCAATTATGTTTTTCATCCCTTATAGCACTTAGTGTGTACATACACCATACATTTGGTACTAGGCTTGTATCATTTATTTCATTTATTTAGATTATCTTCCTAAGTAGATTATATGTTTACTGAAGCCCTTTGGTGGTATCTTATTCTTCCTTGTCCTAGAACCAGCTAATGCCTTGTTGATGATTGTATTTCTGTAAATACACATGTTACTTGTCTGTCATTATCTCTAAGTTACTTGCTATTTGGGAGTATTTCTGTACAGTCTGGGATGTTTTCCTACTGAGAATTAGATATTTTAAAATGATTAATGGCAAAAGAATTGCTTTGTTTATTCACCTGCCTGTCCTGTATAAGAATCATTCTATTTAAGTTTTTATTTCATAGGTGAGGACAAGTGAAAAGGTGAAGTGACAGTATTTTAGATTAGAGTTAGGACTATATAGGCTTTTGACTTCAGTTTAAGAAAACAAAAATAGTATTCACTATATGCTTGGCACTATGAGATACTTCTTAAGAACTCATTTACTTTCCTATCCATCTTTCTCAGATGCTGAACTTGCTCTCATGTATTTCCTTACCTAGACGCTCCAGAAGAAAAATTCCATATAAAGACTGTTAACTCTACTTGCCTCTATTGTCTTTCTTTCTCTGTATTTCTGTTTCTTCAAAATTTTGCATTTCAGAGTCTCAAAGACAATATAGCTGAGTTAACCCATTCTCAGAGGGAAAGGTGAAAAAATGAGTTTCCCAAGTTAGATTCATTTTTAGGGGACAGTGAGAAAGGAACATAGAATACTCAAACGTTTATTACTTTTGTCCCCTCACAGTTATCTATGTATTATTTGTGTTTTCTATCTCTGCAATTTCTTCTGCAAATTGAAAATTTACTTATCTTTGAAGGCCACCTGTTCAGATGGACATCTTGGCTGGGAGTGATTGCTCTGTTACTTTGTCTTGCTTTCTTTTTTGGTATCGCTTTTAGGGAGTATGTTACATGGCTACTTTGTGTTACAGTATTTACTTTACTTTTAACAAGATCCCCAAATTTATATTTACTTGTATGAATACTGAAATTGAGCCTTTTTAATAATCAGGCAACTTGGTATTTTATGTCAACCACAAGCTGTTTTATAACATACCCACTAGAAATTCTCAGAAGTCTCTTATTTTTATGAAAAAGAGACTGACAGTCCTTGCAAGCTGTAACATAGTTTTTCTGTTATACTTTGAATACTTGGGTATCTTGAACGCCATTACCTTCTGCATTACAGGTGTTAGTCATCAAAGATCCAGAACAGATGTCTTTTTCAAGTTCATTTCTTCTGTCCATTATTTGTCTGCAGTATATGGGATTTTTTAATTGGAAAAAGGATTAAAAAAGAAAATTTTAATGTTAGGTATAAGTTATAGAAAATATTTTCAAATTTCTGAGTTTTCAAAAAATGTAATTAAAAAATTTCTCTGGAAACTTTCAACAATATAGTAATCATTTAAATACTATTATATTTAAAAATACAGAATGCCACTTTTAATTTTTCCACCATTAAATATTTTACAAGACATTTCAAAGAACAATTAAATTAAATTTTAACATACAAATAATGTATTTTACATATGAAGTTTTAAGAGAAACAATCACGGAAACCAAATGTGATGCTCTGAACTCATGGTTATTACAAAATTAAAATGAATGATAAAGTTTTATAAACTTGTAAAAGTTATTCACTTTTGGTGTGGAAAATCCCCCCAAAACATAGAAATGGAATAATATAAATATCCAGAGCTGTTCTCTGGATATTTAGCTCCTCTACTTATTATTATGCATCTTTTAAAAAATAAAACTGAGATACTACTGTCTTGTGAAATTTTATGTCATCGTCTTTTACTTATATATTTTTATTTTGAAATTTGTACTGTTTAAATTATATGTTAAAATTGACTTTGTTAAGGTATAGAGTTTTATGAATTTTAATAGATGTTTAGATTCTTGTTATTACCATTATAAACAGAATATAGAACAGTTTCATCATGCCAAAAAAACCTCCCTTACATACTTTATAGTCACACCCCCTCAACCTACACAACCTGGCAACCACAGAAATCTTCTCCACAACTAAAGGTCTGACTTTAAGAATGTCATACAACTGGAATTATACCATATCAACTTTTGTTACTGGCTTCTGTCATTCAGTATAATGCCCTGATATTCATCCAAGTTGTTAAACAAGTATCAATGGTTCACTGCTTTTTATTGCTGAGCAGTATTCCATTACAGATGTGTTTACCAGTTTATTCACCTGCTGAAGGGTATTTTTCTCAGTTTTTGAAAATTATGAATAAAACTGCTACAAGCATTCATGTACAGGTTTTTGTGTAAACATGTTTTCACTTCTTTAGTGTAAATACTTAAAGAGATTATTGAATCATATGGTAAATACATGTTTAACTTTATAAGAAACTGTGAAACTGTTTCCCAGAAGAGCTGTACCATTTTGTACTGCATCTCAAGCAACAATGAATGAGAGTTGAGTTATTCTGCATCATCCTCACTAGCACTTGGAATTGTCAGTAAGTTTTTTAAATTATAGACGTTCTAATAGGTATACAGAGGTATCTCATCATGGTTTTAATTTCCCAAATAGCTAATGATATGAAATTTGTTTGTTTGCTATTCATATATCTCCTTATTGAAATGTCTGTCCAAGTCTTTTGACCACTGTAATTGGGCTATTTGTTTTTACACTGTTGAGCTTTGAGAGTTCTTTATATATTCTGGATACAACTCCTTTGTTGGATATGTGACTTGAAAATATTTGCTCCAATGTAGCTTGTCTTTTCAGGCTTCTAACAGTGCCTTTTGAGGAATAATAGTTGATGAAGTTATCAATTTTTAAAAAATGGATAGTACTTGTGGTGTCTAGTTGGAGAATTCTTTGTTAATCCCAGGTCACAAATGTTTCCTCCTATGCTTTCTTCTAAAAGTTTGTTAGTTTTACATTTTATATTTAGATCTATGATTTATTTTTAGTTAGCTTTTGAGAGTAATGTATGAGGTTTAGTTTGAGATTCTTTGTGTGTCTGTGTGTGCATAGATGTCCATTGTTCCAATACCATTTGTTGAAAAACTATCCTTTCTCCATTGAATTGCCTTTGTACTTTTGTCAAAATTCAGCTAGGCATATTTATAGGGGTCTATTTCTGGGTTATATGTTTTGTTTCATTAATCTGTGTGTCATCGTTTTACTAATACCATAATTTCTTGAATAGTTATAGCTTTAGAGTTGGGGATGGCAAACCACAGTCCATAGGCCAAATCCAGTTTATACATATTTAGTAAATAAAGTTTTATTGGAACACATTCATTTTATATTATCTATGGCTGCTTCCTTGCTATGATGACAGAGTTAAATAGTTGTGACAGAGACTATGTGGCCTGCAAAACCAAAAGTATTTACTAAACGGCCCTTCATTGAAAATATTTGTCAACCCCTGCTAAGATCATTTATGATTCTTCCAACATTATTTCCATTTTTCAAAATGGTTTCTGTTATCCTAGTTTCTTTGTCTTTTTGTATAAATTTTAGAATCAGCTTATTGATATCTTTTACAAAACCCTTCTGAGATTTTGATCAGAATTGTATTAAATCTTTAATCAGAAATCTTTAGATCAGTCAGGAGACAGCTGACATCTTTACTATATTGTGTCTTCAAACCATAAACGTGTTACATCTCTATTTATTCATTTTGTAAGGCAGAGTCTCACTCTGTTGCTCAGGCTGGGGTGCAGTGTTAGGATCTTGGCTCACTGCAACCTCTATCCCCCGGATTCAAGTGATTCTCCTACCTCAGCCTCCCGAGCAGCTGGGATTACAGGTGCCTGACACAACGCTCAGCTAATTTTTTTTATTTGTAGTAGAGACAGGGTTTTGCTATGTTTGCCAGGCTGGTCTCGAACTTCTGACCTCAGGCGTTCACCTTGGCCTCCCAAAGTGCTAAAGTTACAGGTGTGAGCCACCGTGCCTGGCCTATTTATTTTAATCTTCTTTGATTTCTTTAAACAGTGTTTTATAGTTTTTAGCATACAGATGGAGTGTTTGGTTAGACTTATAACAGTATTTTCATTTATTTTGGAGCTACTATAATTTAAAAAGCTTTTTTTGGTTTTCAATTGTACATTACTAGCATGTAGAAATACAACTGATTTTTGTGTGTTGACCATATATCTTATGACTTTGGTAAATGCACTTATTAGACGTAGGGACCATTTTGTATGCAAAAAGGGATGGTTTCATTTCTTCTTTTCCAAGCTGTATTTTTTCTTGTTTTTCTTGCCTTATTACACTGTCTAAGATTTTTAGTGGACATCTTTACCATGTTTCCAATCTTAGGAGGAAAACATTCAGTTTTCCTCTATCAAGCAGGGTGATACCTGTAGTATTTCTTTTTTTCCTTCTTGGTAGAAACTCTCTATAGTTTGAGGAAGTTCCCTTCTACTTCTACTTTACTGAGTTTTTTTTTTTTTTTTAAATCATAAATGGGTATGGAATTTTGTCAGACATTCTTTTCTTCCAGTTGATCTGATGAGTTGATTTTTCTTACTTGTACTGTTAAAATCATGGATTACATTAATTTTTGAATACTGAATAAGCTGTGCATTCCCAAGATAAATCCCACTTAATTCTGGCATATTATTATTTTTATACATTACTAAATTCTTAATCCCTGTTAAGGATTTTTGCTTCTATATTTATGAGAGATACTGGTCTATAGTTTTTTGTACTGATTTTTTTTTTCCTTTTTTAAAAAATTCCATGGGACTGCTTGATATATTTTATTGTACTGTCTTTGGGTAGTAGCCTCAGAAAATAAGCTGGGGTGTGCCGCATCATCTTACATTTTCTGAAAGAGATGTGCACAAATTACAGTATATTTTTGTCTCAATGAATTCACCAGTGAAACCATCGGGACCTGGAGATATCTTTCATAGAGTTTTTAATGTTTGTTTTAAACTACAAGTTTAATTCTTTTAATAGCCATAAGATTCAGGTGATCTCTTTCATTTTCAGTCAGTTTGGTAGTTTGTGGTTTTCGAGGAATTATTCCATTCAAACTATGTTGTTAAACTTACTTACATACAATAGTTCATGACAATATTTATTATCTACTTAATGTCTGTAAGGTTTAAGATGATATACCCTCTTTGATTCCTGATATCAATAACCTATGTCTTCTTTTTGTCTTTGTCTTTGAGTAGTTTTATCAATTTTGTTGATCTTTTCAAATAGGCTTTTGACTTTATTTTTATGCTTTCAACTTCAATGATATATGCTCTTTATTATTTCCTTTCTTCTGCTTCCTTTGAGTTTACTATGCTTTTCTTCCTCTAGTCTCTTTAGATGGAAGCTTAGATTGTTGACTGAGGCATTTCTTTTTTTAATATAAGCATTTAGTGGAATAAAATTATTATTTTAATCTGTGATTTTTTTCAGTTTATAATATTTTCTGATTTCCTTGAGACTGCCTCTTTGACCTAGGGATTATTTAGAAGTGTGTTAATTTCTAAGTGTTTGGAGAATTTTCTATATTTCTTTTAGTTATCTATTTCTAATCTATTCCTGTTATGGTCAGAGGACATACTTTGTATATTCTTTTAGGTTTGTTTTATGACCCAAGATCTGATCTGTCTTGGTGAATGTTCATGTGTATTGCAAAAGGATGTGTGTTTTACTGTTGTTGGGCGGAATGATTTTCTGCCTATTAGTTTTTCTGTTGTTGAGAAAGGACTGATGCAGTCTCCAGCTGCAAATTTGGATTTGTCTGTTCACATTTTGATCTCTATCATTTTTTGCATAATTATGTATTATAACATTCTCTTGTCAGAGGCAAACACATTAGCATTGTTTATACTTTCTTGATAAACTGACTCTTTCATCATTTTTTCCTTCATTCCTGGTGTCTTAAAATTTCCCTCTGGTATCATTTCCCTTATGTCTCAAGAACTTCATTTGGTAATTCTTTAATAACAAATCTACTGGAAACATATTCACTTGGTTATCCTTCACCGAATTTGAAGTTTTCAGCTATTCTCTGTATATATATATATTTTCAGCATTGCATTTTTATCCTCTCCTTCTAGGACTCTGATGTTATGAATGTTAGACCTTTTTGCATTGCCTCACAGGTCCCTGGGTTGATTTTTTTAAAAACAATATGTTTTCTTTGTTCATTGGATATTTTCAATTGATCTGTCTTCAAGTTCATTGACTTTCCTTTGTTATCTCTATTCTGCTATTATCAAACTTATCACCATTTTGGTGGGGAGGGGGGTAGGGGGAGG